CTCAAAAAAAAAAAAAAAGAAACCTGGAAAAAAGGACCTTCGGGCTATGTGTCTATGCTGCATATGAAACATAAGTGAATTTCCTGTTTAGACTGGGGTCCAGTTCCCAAGATGCCTCATTATGTATATGCAAATAATTCCAAAATACAAAAAAAGTCTGAAACCAGAAACACTTCTGGTCTCAAGCATTTTAGATATGGGATAGTCAGCCTGTGCTTGTTGAAAGGATCATGTTTCTTAATATTTGCTTCAGGAAAAGATTACCTGTAGCACATGTCATGAATCATGGCAACATATTTGACACCTGGGGATTCTCTGGCCATTTAGGCAGTAAACATCACTAGTATCACTAGTCATCTATGCCCCCCACCCCAGATCCACACTATATGAGATATTTTTAATTATCTATCTATCTATCTACCTATCTATCTATCTATCTATCTATCATCTATCTATCTATCTATCTATCTATCTATCTATCTATCATCTATCTATCTATTTAGTTTTTTGGCCTTTTGGAGACAGGATCTCCCTGTAGCCCCTGGTGGCCTGGAACTCACTACGTAGACAAGGTTGGCCTTGAACTCACAGAGATCAGCCTGCCTCTGCCTCCCAAGTGCTGAGATTAAAGGCGTGTGCTACCATTACCATACCCAGAAAATTTTATTTTTAAATTAGTTATTAAGATATACTTTTGTATGTATGTGTGCACATTTTTGTGTGTGGTGTATATGTGTATATACACACGCATGTACACATGGAGGCCAGAGAGGGTCAGGTGTCTCTCTCATTCTATGCCTGATTTTCCTGGGACAGGGTCTTTCGCTGAACCTGAAGCCCAGTGTTTTGGCAAGGCTGGCTGGCCAGTGAGCTTACAGGACCCACTTGTCTCTAATTTCAATATTGGGGTTACGAACATGCCAACCATGCCTGTCTTTTTATTATTTTTCATTGGGTGCTGTGGACTCAAACCCAGGTCTTCATGCTTTCACATCAAGCACTCTCACCCACGGAGCCATCTCCCTAGCCTCTACTAAGGTACTTTTGATGAATAAAAATGCATATATTCATGGCAAACAATATGTTTTGATAGAGGTCTGGCAAGATCAAGCTAATTAATATATGTATCACTTTATGTACTTGTCATATTTTGTTGTATAGAACTTTAAAGATTGACTTAGAAAACATTTGATCTTAGAAGTAGGCGTCCCTAAACAATATGCTGTATAGTTTGCATTTGCATCTTATTAAAAATGGTGTCATTTTGTGTACAGCTCTTTTTTTTTTTAACCTAACATGATGCTTCTAAGACTGGATTGTCCAGTAGTCCATCCTGTGAGTATGCCACAACTTTTTTCCTATTTTCTTGCCAATAGAACTTAGGTTGGTTCCAGCTCTTGCTACCGAGAGCAGGGTCCCATAACTCACATACACCAAGTTCTCTTGGGGATGCCCCAGGAGCAGGACTGCTCCTCTGTGGTATATGCAGCAAGAATCTATTTCACTAAGTGGTTTTGCAAGCTGGTTATAGAAATAAACACTCCTGATCCAGAGATGCTAAGGGTCTCTGTGGATCTACATCCTCACCAGTATTTGAACTGTCAGATGTATTAATTTTTACTAACCAAGTGAAGGGCAATTGTATTTCTTTCTTAAATATTTGATAGAATTCACTGTAGAAGACTCCCGGGCCTGACATTTTCTATCTGGGAAAGGATTTTAATTATAAATTCAATTTCTTTAATAGAAGTAGTACTGTGTAGGTTTTTTCTTTCTTATGTTAATTTTGATAAGCTACAGCTTTAAAAGTATGTGTTCTCTTTACTGAAAGTATCAACGTCTTGACAGACTTCATAAAAATTCTCTTATCCTTTTCTTTTGTGTAGAATTTGCAGTGATATCCCCTCTATCATTTCCCTCCCTCCCTCCCTCCCTCCCTCCCTCTCTCCCTCCCTCCCTTCCTCCCTACTTTCCCAAAGTAGTGACCTTTGTCACTACCATTTGTTTTCTCCTTTGGGCACATCCATTCTCATGAGATAATGTTTATAAAAAACTTGGCACACCCAGTATTATAGAGAAACATTCTACATTACAAAGAAACATTTAAACATAAACCTTTCTGGGTAAAAGTAGGGTGATAATACTCATAGTTTGAGGCTTCCTAAGACCCAACATCAACCCAAAATACAGTCAGATAGTGTTGTCTGGAAGCTGGTGTTGATCAGGCTCCCTTCAAACCTATACTCTGTGGCTAGTCCTAAATCTAATGTCTAGGTATCCTCCTTAGTCCCTCTAGAACAGAGAGAGAGAGAGAGAAAGAGAGAGAGAGAGGGGCAAATATAAATAAAATGAGACGAGAGAGAGAGAGAGAGAGAGAGAGAGAGAGAGAGAGAGAGAGAGAGAGAGAGAGAGAGAGAGAGAAACAGAGTCCTTGGGAGCTCTAGAAAAATGATGGCATCACAAAAGAACGACTTAGCGACAACATGTAGGCGACACAACCTTTGTCAACATCTGACCAAATTTGAGGAAAGAAAAGGATTCAAATATTTTACAAAAGCCAATCAATCCTTCAAGAATCAAGGGCGGGGAGAGAAAGAAAACATGGATCACTATAGTTATAAGTGCTTCTTAAAGAACCTGTCAAAAACTAAGCTTTGTCTAAGCAAGAGATGATTGGAGACCCTCCAGCAAAAGTAGACATTAGCCATCAGACACCCAACATCACTGTGGCAGGCAGTGTCCACAGCATCCACAACATCCTGTCTCTTGCTGGTCATGCGCTGGAGAGTGAGCAGCATCTTTGATTTTTCAATGGGTGAAATACATAGGAAATGGAAAATTGTGTCCGTGGTTGTATTACACCAGTGTTTTTCCAGTTATGCTTTTATGTATTAAGATTCTGTCTTGCTAGTAGATTTATTCTGTCTTCCTTCACTAGCTTAGTGGAGTAAGCAGCCATGGTGAAGGACGCTCACAACCACAAGGGACTGGCGGTGGTCCCTAGGAACTATGGGTGACCTCTGAAGTTTGAAGATGTCCTCCAAAGTTCATGTATTAGAGATTTCATCCCCAGTGCAACCGTGTTAAGAGATGGGGCCTAAAGAGAGGTAATTAGGTCATGGGGGCTCCGTCATGGCCAACACCAGCTAAAATTACAAGGGACTGGAGGTGGTCCCTAGGTGCTGTGGATTACCTATGATATGAAACAGGGAGGAAGACACAGGGGTGGAACTGTGCTTCTAAGAATAGCTTTTGTATAGTTTTGACCTTCGGGCCATAAAAATACTTTACATATTCAGAAGTAAAATTCTATCATAAAGACCAAGGGTGTGCAAAGCAATTATAAACTCATGAAAGAACTCTATATCAAACTGATAACATACACACCCAAAAAATCTTGAACTGGACCCAGTAGTTTTTGATTGGTAGTTGTTTACATGTTATAATTCTGAAGATACTTGGGTGTATTCTAGCATTAAGCAAATGATTAAATATGCTGATGATTTGAGAATCAGGTTCTCACTGATGCAAATATTAATTTCTAGTTTTTTAAAAAAAGATGTTTGGGGGCTGGAGAGATGGTTCAGCAGTTAAGAGCACTAGCTGCTCTTGCACAGGATCTATGTTTGATTCCCAGCACCCACATGGCAACTAACAACTGTCCATAACTCCAGTTCAGGGGATCCAATGTCCTCTTCTGACCTCCATGGGCATTGCATGACATACATATAAGGCAATACCCTCATACACATAAAATAAAAATAATAAGTAAAATATTTTTTAAAAGATGCTTTGGTTGGGGCCACCTGACAAATTCCAGATCAATGACACCAAGGTGGCTGTGGGCACACCTAAACCAGATGGTGGTTCCTAGGTACTTACCTCCCAATTGAAGGAGTCGAGGCTGCTTTGGGAAACTGACTGGAGATTGGGGTCCAAGTACAACTTAGAGCTGAGCCAATCTCATACCACCTCTGCAAACGCTACACAGGTGTCCCTCCTGGAAGGAGTGGGACCTGGCTTGAGCTCAAGCTAGGCTCCCTGTCCACCTCAGCTCAACTCGAAGAGGACCCTCACCCTTTTCAAGCGCTGAGCTGTATTGGGACCGAGGCCTTTGTGTGACTATGGCCCCAGAGGGAGGATGGCACCACCCCCAGCCTCACAAATGTCTCTATACCACCTGATCCTTTAACCCAGTCTCAGTTCTCTCTGCCTAGTGACTCCAGCAGGTGGCTTCATGCTCCCTCTCCTGCTTCCTGTGAAAGTCTTCAGCCATCATTAAACGTTTCCTTCTAGTATTCAAACTCCAAACCTCCGATAGCCTGCTCACTGCACCCAGAAGAAAATCCAAACCCCAGCTCCTGTCTGTATTTCCAGCGGCTCCCACCCACCACCTGTATCTGCTCAGAGACCTTGCACCTACATGTACTCTTGGCCCTCCTCACCCACGAGGAGCACATTCACAGCACAGTCAGAGATCCCTAGCCAGGGGCAGACACCTGGGGCTCAGGTTCTGCCCCACCTGTCTCTCTCCACTCCATTATTCACTTTTACTGTCTTCTTAGAGATTCTCCTCTGACAGGACCTCTGGCTTTCCTTTGGTAACTGTGCTGTGGTGTGACCTCTCGGGCAGCTGCTTGGGGCAGTCAGCTGGCAGCACATAGTAGGTGCTCCATGAATGCCCTGGGTGAGCGAGTGGACACACACAGCAGCCCCAGGTGGCCTGGCAGGGTGAAGTGCTGCTGTTGGAACCCGGAACCTCGCCGTTACCACTTCACGGCCCTTAGAACAAGTCCTGTCACCCCTCTGAGGCTCGGTGACTTCAACTGTGAAGTGGAAACTGCCCTTGCTCAGCAGGTGGATCTTCTCGGGTTCTCTGACCCTCTCACCTGCCTCACAGTTGCAGGAGACAGGAAGCAGGGGTGCAGGGGACCCCACCACCTCACTACCTAAGCTGCCTTTTCCCATGCTGGGCAGAGAGCAGGGTCCAGAGCACTTACCCCTCCGCATCGGAAAGGCTTCCCTTTCTCCATCGACATACAGAGTGATGGCTGGCTGGGTCCTGTCCCTCATCACTGCCCGAGGGACACACCCGGAGAGCCCCCACAGATCCCATAGAGGGCGGATGGCCGCACTGGCACATTCCTCAAGCCCGACTCCCACAAGGACAAGGCCCTTTCCATTCTGCCCAAGCACCCCGCGGGTCAACCTTGCCATCTCCGCTGCATAGCCAGGGAAACTGAGGCCCAGTGTGGGGTAGGGATCAGGGCCCAGGCTGGCTTTTCCTGCCTAAGCAGCAGGGTCTTCCCGCAGGGTGCAGCTGCGGAGGTCCAGCGGCACAGCCTGGTCTCCCGCCAGGGGCTGGGGGCGTGCCCTCCACTGCCCGATCTCCAGCCCGGGGAGACCCCCAAGCTCGCCCCGCGCCTTCGGGGTGCAGCCCCACGCCATGCGCGCCGCTGCCCACAGCCCCGCCAGCCGGTCGGCTACGCGC